TTTGGTAATTCATTGCTACTTTTTCAAAATGTCTTTTTGATCCATGTAATTTATCTAAAAGTATATGTGTGGTCGAATTAAGAAAGAAAAAAAGTATTATATTTAAACTTTATCTTTATAGTTGTAGCGGTAGCAGATTGACATGCTCAGGATTGATTTAATTTTTAATAATTAATTAGACTCCCATTAAAACTTGCCTAATCTGTTGAGACTCGAGAGCTCTCGAGTAGCCAAACCTGTAATTCTAAGAAGAGGTAATGGTCCCTTTGGGCACGTGGTGGACCCATTACCACTTTCGGCAAAGACAGCCTGGTATTGCATCATGTCAAATTATTCACGTGTCTGGCCGACCTTTCACGTGCTACATAGCAACTGCATAATGGTTAAAAAATAAAATAAAAAACATTTATTTGAATATCTTTTTTTCTTTTTTGTTTTTGAACCTTCTACAAGATTAGGAAGTATATTTTAGCTTAGTAAAGCAAATACACATTCATTATATTTTGTTCTGTTGGAATTAAAACGCGGAAATTGCACATTGGAAGGACGAGCTTAGACTAGTAGTGTTCATTGGTTAAAAATAAAAAGAATTAAAAAAAAAAAAAAAGAATCCTTGGAGAAAGAAATAAGTTGTGCGCTAAGACTAGGGCTTTTTAAATATTTTGTCTTGATAGAGAAAAGAGAAATTAATATTTGGTTGGATAGCTTTGAAATAAGAGTAAAACATTGTCGTATTATTTAACACAAGTGTGCGTGGTTGAAACTTTCTGAATCATATGTGGTTGATGCTTGATATTGTTTAGAAGAGGAATTGAATTTATTTGTTTGTCTCACTTTGCACGTTGAGCTTCCCTTGAAATTAACTCATTTTCACCTAAAATCTCAACTGGTCCACTTTTATATTCCCAGATGGATATAAGTTATAATAGCCCCACTCCACTCCCCGACTCGTGAAAAAGTGACTTAATTAATTACCCAAAATAAGTTAAAATGGCTTTTGATGTCAAGTGTTGTGATTTTGAGTGGAGTGTTCGATCTCAGTGGCTGAATGGCTGTTAGACATTGCCATCTCTGATTATATTGTTTGGTTTTTTAGTTAAAAAAATAATAATAAAATAAAATAAAATAAAATTACCCAAAATAATAATAGTAAGTAACTTTATCAAATTGGAGTTGAATTTGGACCACATGAATTGGAGGTTGAAGGACTAACTTGGATTTAGTTCTATTTTAATAAAGCCCATTTATTTAAGTATGATACACATGTATGGATATATATATAAGGATTAACTGTAAAAAAAAAAAAAAAAAAAAAAAAAAAAAAAGGATTATTATATATAAATGGTGTTAATGATCCATATTTATTATTTGATGAAGTCAAAGTTCTATAATTTTTAAAAAATGAAGACATGAAAAACACTATTTATTCTTACTGAAGTACCAATTTTAGGCACATAAGTATCACTTTTTGTGCATACATGTATCACTTTTTATTTTGAACAAAAAATTGGTATCTGATGCATAAAAAGTGGTACTTATGCCCAAAACAAAAGTGATATCGATGCACAAAAAATAGTACCTACGTGCACAAAAAGTGATATTTCTGTGCACAAAAAGTGATACCTCTATGTCTCAGTGAGGGTAAATAGTATTTTTTCATGTCCACGTTAATATTTTAGTCAAATTCATCTTTTAAAAATTATGAGACTTTGACTCTATTAAATAATAAATATAAGTCATTAGTTTCATTTATACGTAATAATCTCCCAAAAAATTTACTTTTACTTGTACATTTTTCAACGTTGTTTCTTTCTTCTTCTTCTTCTTCTTCTTCTACTTCTTCTTCTTTCTGTTTTTTTTTCTCGCTCGCAAAGTTGTTTCTCAATTGAACATGTATGAACTCTTCAAATATTAAAAAAGTTATATTTTTGCTCATGGAGCTATTTTATTTATTTATTTATTGGGGGCAAGTCTCATCAAGCTTTCTTTTTCAGCCACCTGTATGAACACTTCAAATATTAAAAAAGTTATATTTATGCTCATGGAGCTATTTTATTTATTTATTTATTGGGGGCAAGTCTCATCAAGCTTTCTTTTTCAGCCACCTTGACAAGCACTATTGACCTTCATGTAATTAATTTCCTGTACCCATTATTCACAATCGTCTTGTTTGGCGTTTGGAAATAAAAAGGTCATAACAAATTTTCTTCATCGTTTTTGTGTACATAAATGTTATGATGTTGATGTTACCCTGAATTCGGAAGGGATGTTGTTTATGGTTGGCATCATCCAACTTATGATACTGCGACAATGTTATTATTTTGACACTTTTGATTCAACCACCTCTATAGTTTAATATAAATATCTTAATTTGTTATTACAAATATTATAAAGATCAAGGCAAACGTCGACGAACAATGTCATAAATTACCATAGTCAAAGCAGGAAAATCGATTTCTCTTTCTTGACCTTTTACACACATAAAACTTTTACGTGTTATATCATTAATTGTATATAATTGATGGAATATGTATACTTTTATAAAAATAGAGAGGGGATCACTTTTCCTTTTAGTAACCTAATTTCACTTTCCATCAAAATAAGAAATAAAAAAGAAAAACATTTCACATATCCAAATCACGTGGGCTACAATTAAATAAATAATCTTATATTCTCCCACTTAGTACATATGATAACTTCTGTAATGATTTAGTAAAATAGTCATTAGTGTGCACCAGAAATCAAATTGACTCATTAAGTTGGCCATCATAAATATTATGGTAAATAATCTACTAATGCGAGTCATGACGGTTATATGTCCATAAATGACACATTCCCTTCCATGTACCACAACACTAGTAACCTATTCAATATAGTCTATAAATGAGAAGTATCAATAAATTAAGTTCTCAATCAATTTGAACATATTATATGCCCCTTCAAAATTAATATGAACATATTATTATCAATAAAGTTCTCTCATTCATCCTATCTGGTTTTTATTTGATCAAAAGAAAACTTTGAGTTAATTATCAAGAATCGTTACAAATTCAAATACTTGTGTTGACAAATAATGGTTAAAATAATAATATAGTTTCTCGTGATTAATAAGTGTTTTAATCATACACATTTTTTAAAATAATGTTTTGTGGCCCATATGCTTTATAAATACAATTTCAATGCCGTAATATAAGATATTAAAATGCCTTTTTTTTTTTTTATTTTATGTGCACAACCCTACGCTATGTGAAGGGACCATACATCATATACAGTATAAGATATTGAAATGCCTTCATCAAGACAAACCCAGTTTCTTGTCTAAGACAAAAACATAAACAGTGTACAAAAATACTATTATTAATCAAATGTGAATTCATTATTTATGAAAAAAGAGAAAAATGTGAGTTTATTAGAGGATATACCGAGAATAACCATCTTTAACTCCTCTTATAAAATTCGTTCACGTTATCTTAGAATCTGATATCTAAATAGGTGGTCACGTCAATATTGATATCTCCTAGAATAGTTAATTGTATTATGAGGTGTAAAAAAAAAAAAAAAAAAAATTTTGTATTATGAGAGCTTTTCTTGAGACCATACCATTAAAAAAAATATTTAAACAAAGTCCACCTACAATCTTTAACCCTTTCTACCTCCGTGAACATCAATGCTGTCATTAGTGAATTCACGTGTTAGATTGTAAGTAGCAGTTGAGTTTTCTTTCAAATTTTTGCACTACAAATATAGTAACACAAATTGACTCCATTGTTACCCTGCTTCATAAGTTACTCACAAAGTAGTAGAGTACCGATTTATACGTGATTTTTTTTTTTTTTTAAATTCAATTTGTATTGGTTAATTTATATTGATTTTGTTTGAATATGTTACACTGCAAATGTAATCAATATCGCGATTACGACCAATACTACAAACCTTACTCACACAATAAGTAACGAGAATAATTCCACGTGATAATGGTTAATAATAAAACAGCGAGAATAATTCCACGTGATAATGGTTAATAATGAAACAGAACTTCTAATTCCCATAAGGCTAAAAATTTCCCTATTCTATATGAAACTGCATATGGTTTACATTTTTAAATAATTAAAGATGTGATAAATACACAAATCTCCAATTATTCAAATTCAATATCCATCCCTAGTGGTCATTACGGAAAATTCCGTGAAATTTGAAAATTCTTTGTTATCCTAATCATATTACTAGTTGGATTTAGACTGACAATACATAAAAAAAAAAAAAATAATAAAAAAATAAGCAGTAAAATATTAAAAAAATTCAAGTTGTTGGTGCTTATCTTTTATCATAAAATGTGGATGAGATATCACAATATTGAAAACAGTAACGTGAACTCCATGATCTTTCATGTCAATATTAATAGTGATGCCTATATTAATAATTTAATATTATATTCCAATACATGAACATGAGCCGTCTAATTTGTAGCTTTCTGAAACTACACATGGGACACAGTTTATGCTAGAACGCTCAAATCAGATACACACAAGTACTAGTACCACTTTTGACAACTCATCATGCTTGCTACACCCCTCCCATTTATATGTAAATTTTGACATTTTTCTTTTCTTTTCTTATGCCTAATATTTACATAAAATTGGCATATCTATATCAATATATATAATTATATATATATATGTTCGATCTTTCTAGAGACCAATCAAGAAAGACAAAACCCCACTACAGAAGAACCATGTTACGGGTCCCTTATCCGCCCTGCACACTTGTCAATTATAAAGCCCTTTATCCATTATTTCTTTTATTTTTTAATATTTTTCAAGAAAAATAATAATAACAACAAATTAAATAAAAGCAAATTAAAATGCCTATTAGTATTCCACCAACATTTCAAAACCCGCCAAATTTCATACTCCGTATAATATATACATATATATATATTCAACCGGGGAAACCGGCTATAACAGGTAGTCATGGTCTCAACACTGGATATAAGTAGGTGCATTACATGAGATGTGGAGACCAGTACAGTCTCTGAGTGCAGAGTGTAGAAGAATCTTTGTTTCTATCCACACATCTCTCATTCTCCACCGTTTGATCTTCATCAGACGACATGCCGATCAGCCGGATCGCAATCGGTAGGCCGCAAGAGGCCACGCATCCCGATACTCTTAAGGCGGCGCTGGCCGAGTTCATCTCAACCCTAATCTTCGTCTTTGCGGGTGAGGGCTCCGGCATGGCCTTCAACAAGCTCACGGACAACGCCTCCACCACCCCGTCCGGCCTCATCGCTGCCGCCATCGCCCATGCTTTCGCCCTCTTTGTCGCTGTCGCCGTCGGAGCCAACATCTCCGGTGGCCATGTCAACCCCGCCGTCACCTTTGGTGCCTTCATCGGCGGCAACATCAGCCTTCTAAGTGGCATCCTCTACTGGATCGCCCAGTGCTTGGGCTCCACCGTCGCTTGCTTGCTTCTCAAGTTCGTCACAGGCGGCATGGTGAGTTTTTCACAACCCTTCAAGTTAGTTATTACAGTTATTTTGACCGGTATATATATGTTTCACTCTGACTAATTATTACCTTCTTTTTTTTACTGTTTAACCGTGAAGACAACATCGGCTTTCTCATTGTCTTCGGGAGTTAGCGTATGGAACGCTTTTGTTTTCGAGATCGTGATGACTTTTGGGCTCGTCTACACCGTGTACGCGACCGCAGTGGATCCGAAGAAGGGTAGTTTGGGAATTATAGCACCGATCGCGATCGGTTTCATCGTCGGCGCCAATATTTTGGCGGGTGGGGCCTTCACCGGGGCATCGATGAACCCGGCGGTGTCTTTTGGGCCGGCCTTGGTAAGCTGGAGCTGGGAAAACCACTGGGTGTACTGGGCCGGGCCTCTCATTGGTGGTGGGATTGCCGGGCTTTTGTACGAATTGTTGTTCATCAGCAACTCTCATGAGCAGTTGCCTACAACTGACTACTAAAGCAAGCAAATCCAAGAATGAAATGATTCCACGGCTTTTCTCTTGTGTATTTACTTGTTTTTGAGGGTTTTTAATTTGTGTTGAATCTGTACCGTTGATGTTAATGATGATCTGTGATTATTGCCATTATGGGTCACCACCCCCTTGCACGCTGCTGTGATGTTAGTAGGGTGGGGTCCAGGGTTTGATTGTACCATTCTGATCCTATTGTACTAGTATGATTAAACCTTCAATTTCTTTGCATTCTATTTTCATCTTACATTATGTTGTTTTACAAATTAATTAAAATTTGTCACGCAAATGCATGTTGACCCATTCATTCAATTAGTTGTGACACGGTCGTTAGCACTTCAAAGAAAGTATAAAATCACACAGCAACACCATAATAATTCATATTTTGATTGATCTATTAGTAGCTTTTAATTAGTATAACATAATTTATAGGTAATGTCACACTTAAGTGTAGAGATGAGATTAGTGTAAGATACTATGAGTCATTTGAAGGGCTAGAGAATTGTTCTCAAATCTGAATGGGAAACACGTGAAATTTTGTTGGTACCAGCAGCAGTACTCTGAATTGTTGAGACATTTCAATCACTGTCATTTCTTTGCCCTACTTTTAGACTCCTTTTTATGTACATTCATTTTCAAAGAAAAAGTGAACATAATTTTGTTCTCCATTTATTTAGGGTTTGGTTGCCTTTGCTTCTTTCTTTAAGATTAGAAGTATTAGTTTTTTTATCATACCAATTTTTTTATTTATTTTCTTTTTTTTTTTAAGTTCTTTACACCAGTCTTTCATTTCATTATATTTTATTTTTTGAGTTGTGGACAATTCCGAATCCTCTGCAAAGAACAATTTTATCACCAGAGCTTCCCAACTTGGCACTTTCTTAACATCTAGATTGAGTGACGCATTCTTACAATCTCTTGATTCAAATGAAAAGGTGACAGCTAGTAAGAGAGCACTGAATTTTGACATTAGGAATTTAAGATCCGTTGAAATTTAGTTAAAATCTTAAATTAAATTTTTGCCTTTTTTTTTTTAAAAGTGGGGTGAAAATAAGAAGAAAAAAGTAACAAATTTCTTTTATTAGATAGAGGAGAGAAAAGAAAATATGATAGATGAATTATTATTATTATTATTATTTTTTTTTTCTGAATGGATGAATTTTTTCTACCCTTCACAAAATTTTAACTCCAAAAATGAAAAAGAGGAAAGAAGACAAAGTGTGCATATTATAAAAATTTAAATTATAATATTATCTTTTTTAATTAAAATAAGATAAATCTGAATGAATATTATGATAAGAATAATTTAAAATTCTTTTTTCTTTTCTTTCTCAAATAACACAGTTTGTTGTTGATTTTTTTATTTTATTCTTTTCTCATGGAGCAAAAAACACAGGAGAACACATCATCTCTTTTTCAAGTACATGTCTCTTTCATCCCTTGTTTTTTCTCTTTCATTTAATATTTTTATTCCTATTGAATGAAACATAAAGCACGGAATCTTATAGTACTTCTTGTTAAATTTTCAATTATATATATATATGTGTGTAGATTGAAATCAACTTTTATATTTTTTTATTACAGTATTATTTTTATGTTTTGAAATGTGAGGGTAACGTTCTTGGACTTGATTCATTCAAATGACAGTCTTACTGGAATTTGGAATCCAGCGGATGGGATAGTTCCTTTGCCACGACAATGCAAACACGCGGCGCCAAAAACTACCGCATAATGCATGTGATGGAGATGGTCGGTGAAAGTAGAAACTGGGACCCACCTTATTTGAAAGGTTAGTAATTTCAAAAAACGAATGAATGTTCATAATTGCAGATGTTTTTGTATGGTAGTAATTATATGGATGATGGTGAAGGATAAGACAATTCGGCAGAAAATGACAAGTGGTGAGCACTTTGATTCCTCGATGCCTGTGCAAACGTAGGTGCTAGATGTCTTGGTTGGTTAATAGAGTAATTTTAACCTGCTGTCGTCTTGTGAAGTTTATTTACTTGGAAAACTCTCTTTTTTTTTTTTCTTTTTTTTTTTCAGAAATAAAAACCAAACAAATTAAGAAAAGGTATCAGTTATAGTGGACAACTAGCATCACAAACAAAGAAAGATACACCCTCGGGCATAACCTCCTAGAGATAAAGATGCACTGCCTACACAAACTTTCAAAGTACGCAAATGCAGGGGCGCAGCTAGGAATAAATATTTGAAGGGCCAAACTAATTAATACAAAATTAAATTTTTAAAAATAAAATTAAATACTTATAATTTTTATAGCTCATTTTTAACGTTAAGAGTATGTGTTTATAGATGATATGAAAAGAAAAATAGAGCAAATTAAAAACAGTTGAAGTTTTCAAGTGTCAACTATATTTTTTTTCTTTTCTCCAATTCATAACAAATAATATATATGTGTGTGTGAAACTGTATGTGTGCAAATAAAATATGTTATAATAAGGACTACCATAATAATGGTTATTATTATTATTATTATTATTATTATTTTCTATATTTTGAATTAAGTAAAGCTAGATTTATTCAAATTTGAAAAGTTATAAGTAATTTCATTCACAAACCATATTTATAAAAATTAAAAATAAAAAAGTTCATTCACAAACCACATTCAATAATCATAAGGTAAACCATAAATAGAAATTTTTTTAGAATTTGAAAAAGGCAAGATTTAATTTTTATATAAAAAATCACCATTAGTAACTATAATAATGATTTTTTTAAAACTATATTTTGAATTTTTTGAAGTAAGATGTTTATTTGAATTTGAAGGGTTATAAGTAATTTCATTCACAAACCATAGTCAATAATCACAAGGTAAACCATAAATAGATTTTTTTTTTTAGAATTTGAGAGAGACAAGCTTTAATTTTTATATAAAAATCACCATTAGTAACTATAATTTAGAACCTTAAATAGAGTTTTACAAAAAATTTGAAGAATAAACTTTAGTTTTTAGAAAAATTACCTTTGATAACTATAAATAGATTTTACAAAAAATTTGGGAGGGCCAATTTAATTTTTATATAGAAAAGTATTTATTAATATCTATAATTTAGTATTAGCACAAAAATTTTGCCTAAAATTTGGGGGGGCCATGGCCACCCCTGACCCCCTCTCCCTCCGCCCCTGCTGACAAATGCCTGGCCCACCAGAAACGAAAAGAAATATTTGACATCGAAAGAGAGATATCGGCACCGCCTAGCACAGATACATAGCAGAGTACCCACCAACGTATAACCAAAAGAGTGCGGGAAAACTATCATCACCACACATTAACCATAACGTCAAAATTTCACCAGCCGAATACCCAACAGCCTACTGCCAAAGCTGACCCACCGAGAAACCACAAAGCACAACAGCGCAAACACCATAGACTCCGGACACCGGCATGGAGCTCATATTCTTTACCTCCCCCCATAGCAAAGCATGTGGCGGCCAAACAAGCTGTCCTTCAACACCCCACCACGATCCAAAGGCCAGGCCGACCAGGTGAGATACAGAACTAACATTGGATCGGCCCGCCATGGAAACCCATAGAGAAGAACCCCTTGGATAGAAAGAGGAGGAGGAAGACAAGCACCTAAAACGAAAATCCAAAAAACATAGAACAAACATTAGGGTTAAACATGAAACAAAGGCAAATATAGTAATACCCGGATCAAACGGAAAGATCGGAAAAAGGCTGGTAGCGATGCTGTCAAAGCGCAAAAACCCCAATTGTACGAATCCTCGCTCACATATGCTTCGTCGGCCTAACAACTACAAGAGCTCTAGACTGGATAAGGGATGGAATCCATCTGTTTCGTAAAGTCGGAGAAACGTACCGCAAACACCACCGGCGTACCTCGACAATCGTGTACAAAAACAACAGCGGCGGCCTCCGACAGAGCCTGCGGCGGCAAAGAAAAGGAGACGGCAACAGGTCTAAAAGGATCGGATGGAAAAACAACACAGATGCCCCCGATTCAACAGATCTAAACAAAAGAAAACACAAAAGGAAAAAGGAAACAAAAGGGGAGAAATCGGCGATCAACAAGGATCAACCGCAGAAACACAAAAGGAAACAAAGTGACTGGGAAAAATGAAACAAAAAGGGAGAAATCGGCGATCAACAAAGATCAACCACAGAAATAAGATGGGTTAGAACACTCCGACAAGCAGAGGAACTCCTACTGAAGAGGAGGGCTCCTGCGAAGAGGAGAGACCCCATTCCATATCACAAATTATAATGTCTGAGTTTTCTTTTACATATATCATCAGCTAATTTATGATATCAAATTAACTGATAATATATTTACGAAGAACACTTCTGCACGTTTGATAACGAACGATTTAAGTATTTATTTAATTAAATAGGTTTGATAACAAAATTTGAATATCACTTAAAATATTATATATTATTAAGAAATAGATAAAATTTTAAGTAACACAAAAATTACTTATCACTAAATATTAAATACTAAAATTTTTTAAAAATATTAAAATTTTTTTTAATCACCACTTAAAAACTTCATTACTTAAAATTTAACTCTTGAAAATTTTATGTACTGAAATTTGTAAGTACTAATAAACAATTAAATATTTTTTTAATTTTCAATGTCTAACATTCAGTGAAAGTGATGTCTCTGTTATTTAAAATTGTATTCCCTTTTAAGTGATGCTTATCATTTTTAGTGATATTAAATTGCGCTATCAAATGTATTTAATTAAATAAGCGCTTAATTCGTTCAGAATTAAGCACTAAATTAAATTTTCAAACAACAGTTTTAGAAGAGAGTCGTACTGGTATATTGTCCATGGTAGACATTAAGGGCCCGTTTGGCATGCACTTTGTTTTGGGCGTTCTGTTTTTGGCTAAAACAGAAATAATATTTTTGCTATAAGAGTGTTTTGGAAAAAAATCGAAAGCACGTTTGAGAACGATGTTTTACTATGGAAATGTTATGGTGTTTTGGTACTATTATGATTTTGGACCATGAATAGTTGTCAAAATAAGAAAAAATAATTTTTTAATATTTTTGTTTTGGGTCACTGTTCACAAAGTATTTTAGCACTGTGTAAAATAAAATAAGACCGCATCAAACATAATTTTGTTGCCAAACGGACCCTAACTATTCTCAAATACGTGTTCAACACTTTATATACTTGTCGATAAATAAAAATAAATAATTTTGATTATTTTAAACACTTAATCACACTTTGTTGGCACTCCTCAAGTACTTAAATTGATAATTTCTCATGTTTCTAATACAAATTTATTCAATAATATTAAAAATAATATGCACACATTCTAAAGTGTTCAATTTTTTCTTTTAAAAAAATTGTCATTTCAAATATTTGATTACAAGTAAAATATAAAAATGATACTTGTCAATTTAAAACAAAAACATTATCATGACAAGGGTATATTGTAACTTAAATTTTTTATTATTGTTTTACTTTTATTCATTTCTCTCTTAGGGTGGTTCTACTTGGAGGAAAGTATCATTCTTCGTCATTTCACTTTCCTACTTTTTTTTTTTCTTTTTAACCAAAGAAAATAATATCAAACCAACCGCAAATGTCCATACCAATAAAAAAATAAAAAGAAATAAAAAGAGGTTGCTTGCAATTGCCCTCCCTCCATGGCAGTACTGTTCCTGTCAATATGTGATACCAATTGTCGATAATCCTTCTTAAATTATTACATTGTTAGCCAATATTTATTTGGGTTAATATGTTGATTTTTCACCCGAGTTAAACTAACCTATTCTTTTCTCTAATTATTATTTTGGCTTATGGGAATAAGTAGATGAATATGTAATTTTAATTGTTTTTTTATAAAAAGTTTTTTTTAAAAAAAAAAATTTATACTTTTTTTAAAAGAAACTATAGCCGTTAAGGCACTATTTGTGTCAGCTAAATAGTGTCTTAACGACCAAATGCATTGTTTGTTGTATATATTTAAAATTTAAAGGAAAAAAAAAAAACAAATTTTAACCGAAAAAAATAGTTTTTTAATTTATTTTTGGACCAAATAATTTTTTTTTTTAGACAAACAGTGCCTAAACAATATATTTTATATTTAATGAATTTTATTATTTTTTTAAAAAAAAAGGCTCAAAATAACCTATTTTTAGGTTTTTTTTTTAAAAAATAAAATTCTGCCAAACAGTGCCGGTTCAGCCACTGTTCAGTAGCGTTTGAGAAAAAAACAAAAAAGAGCTCAGGCAAAATGGGGCGGTTTTGCATTAGGAAAAAAAAAAAAAACAGCTATAGCTGGTCAGCTCGCTGAATACGGCGTGTCGGCCCGCGAGGCAAAGTAGGCCTACATGCTTTAGCTAGCCCGCTACGCGGCCAAAAAGCCTGACTCTCGTGGAATTTGGGCTTCTGCGAGCCCGCTGTGGCTGCTCTTAATTAGCCCAGCGATGACCATGCAACTATCATTTTTAGAAGACGGGCTTGGCTAATTGAAGTTGGCTCATTCAAACCTATCGTTGGGCTGGGCTGATAGAAGTTGTAATCACGTTGTCCATCTCATTAGCAGATGGGCTGTAGTGTCCTTTTGGCCCTTTTGTTCCGTAGCTCTTCTTTTGCTTGAGAGAATTATTACATAATCCTTACTAATTACTAATTAACAAGTAATTAAAAATAAATAAATAAATAAAGTTATAGTGATTGGTCCGATACAATATACCGAGGCTATTTAATTTCAAAAATTAGCCTTTGGGCCCGAGCATGTTTACTGTTAATTACTTATACATAATTTATTGGGCTCAGATATGTTTTGTCCAACTTAAAGCCCATAACTAGGTTTGACCCTAAGCTTTCCAAAAACCCTCTGAGAGTAGGCCTACAGAAAGACTAAGACATAAAGTGATACCATCTTATCCTTATAACAAATCCAACAGTGAAAGGTTAGAAATAGTAGCAACATTTTTCAACTGAATCTACTTTTCCAACAGTGAAAGACTAGGGCTAAAGGCATATTTAAGTATCTATCCGTCTATGTGCAGAGAATAAGTTTGGTTGTGCGTATTAATATGTGTATAATTCAATCCACATTATAATATCTGCGTGACCATCAATGTCACAATTATTGATGTTGGATGAAAGCGACGTACTGAATTATTATGCATGATTTCATTTGTTTAGAATCCAGTTGATCTGATCCAGAAACATAAAAAGAATATCAATTATCATAGATCATGTCAAAGAAGCAGTTAGAATTAACGGACACTGTATCTTTATATCCTCTACTGATGAGAAGTTTTTTTTTAAGCTAGAAAAATTATTTGATGGTCTCCAGTTTTGTCAAGTTAATTTACAAGTAAATAGGAGAGTTTTTTTTTTATTATTTTATTTTATTTTAATCATGTGTTAATTTGTGATTGATTGAAATTAATAGTCCAGGACTATATCGGGATGAGAATTTATTGTATGGTTCAAGATGAACGGTAAAAAAATAAATTAAAATAAAATAATTATCCAATTACTAGTTGACAACTTGACATAAGCAAAATAAAAAATTGATTGAGTGAGAGTACCACACATAGGGTATTGTAGACAAATTCTTAAAAAATTGGTTCAAGATGAACGGTAAAAAAATAAATTAAAATAAAATAATTATCCAATTACTAGTTGACAACTTGACATAAGCAAAAAAACAAAATTGATTGAGTGAGAGTACCACACACAGGGTATTGTAGACAAATTCTTAAAAAATTGGTTCAAGATGAACGGTAAAAAAATAAATTAAAATAAAATAATTATCCAATTACTAGTTGACAACTTGACGTAAGCAAAAAAAAATTGATTGAGAGAGAGTACCACATATACAATTGGGTGACAGTACCACACATAGGGTGTCGTAGACAAATTCTTAAAAAAATTGATTCTCTAAAGTGTTAACAAGCACACACTAAATTAATATCTAAACAAATAAAATTTAAAAGAAGAAGTGATAATAACCCGAATATTATAATATATTTAAAAATAAAAAAAATTATAAAATGAAATTTAAATTTGGGTTTGGATTGGGTTCGGGTTTTTGGCACTACAGTCCAAGTCCAACACCAATTGTAAAGATAATTATCAATGCGTAGCTAAAAATCAAATTGGGTTCAAATTAGCCAGCCTAGATTACAGCTCTACTTATAGATAAAATGACTTCGAAATTAAATTTTTTTGACTATTTAACACATACGTCTTATTATTATTATTTTTTATTTTTCTGTTTGCTAATGCCTCTAAAACAAAGCTGTATCAAATCATTGTTATTGCCCAACCAATTCCAATGCACCATTGTTATCAAATCATTGTTTGTATTTGTAGATATTGTTCCAAAATAAATATCCTATTTACTACTAATACAATAATTTTTTTATTAAAACTCATTATATTAAAAAGTTAAATTGAAGGATATGGTGGCAAATGCTGGTGTGTCGCCCCGTCATCTCCGCATAAGATTAGAGGGTGTCGACTGAATGGGATAGTATATAAATAGGGGTTGATGTGATATTTATCAAAACTTTGTATTATTGGCCAACTTTGCTCTTTTATCAATGGAGGGCTTCCCTTCCTCCTCAAATATAAAACCTCAATGCTTCTGTATATCATACTCATAACCCCTCCAGAAATACCCCCTTTTCGCCCACTTTACTGGGGTCCGATTTTTATTTTCACTATTTATTTTTTATATATCTGTGTTTTTGCCTTTGGATATTGTAATTGCTATTGAATTTGGTTTTTGTAAATCTTTTTGTTAAATTAATTGGTTTTGCGTAATGGGTTTCATTTCAGGTGATTTTTGAGGACGCATACACAAAGAGTATATATGTATATAAGAATTTACATTAAAGGAAATGGAGAGCGTTTTGGAGTCCCAGATGAACTCTAATGGGTCGGAAGAAGTATATCTCATGGATATGGGATCTGGGAATTTCGGGTATTTCTTATTTTGGTGTGCGCATTTTTAGATTTTTATTTTCGATCCCCATTCATTTTTTCTTTCTTTGTTAAATTTTCAGGTGCTCACATTACAGAAGAAGGTGCAAGATCAGAGCGCCTTGTTGTGACGAGATATTTAGCTGCAGACATTGCCACAACGAAACTAAGGTGATTCTTTTCTTTTCTTTCCATTTTTTTTTAATTTTTCAAGTTATTTTTTTAAAAAATCATTATTGCTTACTGCGAAGATCACAAATCTTACATATTTAATTTTTTTCAACAGAATTCATTGGAAGTCGATCCTCTCAGTCGGCATGACATTCCTCGCCATGAATTAAAAAGGGTCAGTTCTTTTCTATAATAATTCTATTGGATGAAATGGAGTTCTGAATTTCATTTGATAGTTTTTTTTTTTTTAATTATTATGATTACGTTGTATTACTTCTGGTGTTATGGTAATAGGATTGACTTTTGTTTTCAGTTCATTAAGTCTCTTTTGTTTCTCTATGAGACCTTTGGTTATAGTTTGCAATTCCCAGGTTTTATTTTTATTTTTATATATTTTTATGATTTATTAAAGAAATACTTTTCATAGTTCACTCGTTTATATTGATATTTCTCTTAATTAATGCATGAATGAAATTTTTTCTTAAAAAAAAAAATAAATTGAAATGGGGTTCTGAATTTCATTTGATAGTTATTTTTTATTCTTTTAATTTTCAATTTTTTTTTTTTTGTTTTTTTGTTTTTTTGTTGGTGTTATGGTAATAGGCTTGACTTTTGTTTTCAGTTCATTAACTCTCTTTTGTTTGGTTCTATTTTGCAATTCCCGGTATTTATTTATTTTAATTATTATTTGTTAAAGAAATATATTTCATACTTCACTCATTAAAATTTATATTTCTCTTAATTAATGCATGAATGAAATTGTTACTCAAAAGAAAGAATGAAATACTAATCCAGCTTTATATTTGTTGTGTACTTGTCTTTCAGGTCATCTGCTCATTGTGTAACACAGAACAAGATGTGAGTTAACTTATTAAAAGCTCAAACTGATTAAGTACCAATACTAAAATTTAAATATAGTTGTTTCTTATTTTCCCCAAACTTTAATCACAAGGGAGAAAATTTTAGCAATAAAAAGATATGGTTTTTGATCTTTCTTTATGTCATTCAGGTACAACAGAAATGCTTTCATTGTGGGGTTTTCATGGGGAAGTACTATTGTTCAAAATGCAAATTCTTTGATGACGATGTAAGCTTGAAAAAATTAATTCTTGACCATCGAGTCCTGGTTGTTATATACTTGCTAATGGTACAATATGATTTCTATCTCTAGGTTTCGAAGAATCAATATCACTGTGATAAATGTGGAATCTGCAGGTTAAAATCTCTTCCATGTTACTTCTTTTTCTCTCTATTTCTTTTACAATTTGTATAGTTTTCCATGCACTTAACGAAAGAAAAACCTCAGACTCAGATCCCATCATCTACTGGGGTCGGCTATGCAACTTATTTTTTGGCATTATTTCAATTAAACCATTTGCTTGTTTTTGTCATTATCGTAAAACCTTTGACTTCTTGTGCTTTTCCTTTTTATGAATCACATTATCCTTGATGCTCATGGATGACCATCTTTAATGACCAATAATTTAGTGTTTAGGAGCTATTGTTCTTCGTGCAATTTCCTTGTATCTAAATGTTTTCAATTGTTTATTGCAATCAGAACTGGAGGTAAAGAAAACTTCTTTCATTGTAATAAATGCGGTAAGATTATGAACATTAATTTTCTGTGAGCTCAAATTTTTTTTTTTTAATTCATTGTTCAAGAGTTGAAGCCTGGGATGTCTGTGATTACTGTTTCAGGATGTTGCTATTCAACGTTGTTGAAAGATTCTCATGTTTGTGTGGAAAGAGCAATGCACCATAACTGTGCTGTTTGTTTTGAGGTAAACTTAAAATGACTTGAAAGATACAAAACAAATATGCAAAATGCTGCTATTGCCGAGATTTTCCATTTCTTTTTGCAGTATCTTTTCGATACAACAAAAGACATTACGGTCTTGCCTTGTGGGCACACTATACATTTGGAATGTGTTAAGCAGATGGAACAACATTTCCAGTAAGCATTTTATTTATTATAGTAGTATTTTTTTTTTTTTTCCTCCTATTTTCTCTCCCTCATTTTTGGGTAGTATAAAGCTATTGTTCATTCTATTTTCCCATTTTTTGGTCATTAACGTTTTGTGAGCGCAGGTATGCATGCCCCGTTTGCTCAAAGTCATACTGTGATATGTCCCGTGTGTGGCAAAGACTTGATCAGGAGGTATGCAGATTATATACACTGCTTACTCAATTTTAAGGAGATTTAGTATGCTCATAATCTGAAGAAAGTCGTCTTTCTCCGAACTAATCTGTATTGTATATCTGAAGGTTGCTTCGACACCCATGCCTCAAATATATGAAAACAAGATGGTAAGGAAGAGTGATATATTAGATAACATTTGACTTCCTAAGTCTAGGGTTGTTATATCAACTAATATATCTACAATTTGGTTGTTCATTAGGTTTGGGTTCTTTGCAATGACTGTGGAGAAACATCTGAAGTAAATTTTCACATTGTCGCGCACAAGTGCCCAAAATGCAACTCCTATAATACCAGGCAGACACGAGGTGGCTCTTCCTCATGCTCATCAAGCATTGAGGAGATGGTGAGATGACTGGCTTCTCAACTATGACCTTGGAAAAAGATTTTTACTTCATGGTAAGTGCTTTTGATAAGCACTACAATGCAGCAAATTTTATTTTTTCTGCGTCTTGAAAATGGCATGGAGATCCATTTCTTCATTAATTTCACTTCTTATTTGTGCTCATCTGTATCACTAGTAGATATAGTTAGTCCATTATCGTCGGAAGGACACACTGTCCATTGATTGTACCCATGCTAGATGTTTCCCACAAAGGGTGTAAGTTCGTAGCATAAGTAATTATGTAAACCTCCAAGATCTTTGAACTTTAGCATTTAGGAAACAATGTTATGGCTAAAGCTGAATGTGATCTTATTTTTCAAGTTTCTTAAATTAGTAATGAAAGTTGTTATTAACTTTGTTCCCTTTTGGTATCACTGACCTGACCTTTTACAAGCACCATCTTGATAATAATCACATTTATTTTGCCCCCAACAGTTTTGATCCATAAACATGTCCAAAAAAATGTGAGAAACATTGGAATTTTATTTGTATGAAGACCAATAGGTACAAGACTATATAGTTGAAAAGGAACTTCCACCCATATCCTATCCCATTAAAGAAGATTAGTGTTTAAGAGCTCAATCTCCAATTATAATTAGTTACATCAAACCATAGAGGTGTATCTCTCGACGATTGAGTGGTTGCAATGGTCTTGCATTGCTCTGTGCATACTGCAACAAAATCAGCCACCAACAATAAGAAGATATCTTATTCCCATTTAAACCTATAATTAGGTGCAGAACAAAATAATGTCACGAGAATTCCTTATTCTAAGTTCGTTCATCGTTGTCTAAACAAATGAAAATAAAGTTACACAAGCTGTAGATATATACGTACATCATGAACTGTGTCTCGCAGGAAGTTGATTTGTTCTTGTGAAACAGTTGCCACCTGAGGTCAGTCAAATTTAGTTAATTAAAGATCTAATATTGATATATTTTCGTGACCAATAAGTGATTGGAGATTGAGTTTTGGTTTAATGAGACATATAATATTACCTCTTCTTTGATGATCCAAATAACTTCTTCAGAACAAGGGGGCATAGTGAGTGAACCAGTGTACATGTAATACCTAGTGCCACCCACCTTGATGTCTCTTGGATCCACTTTCCCCGCGCTATTTTCTTTCAAACCATCCATCAAAGGTGCAATGTTTCTACTCAACTGAGAATCAAAATACATATGATAAAAAAAAAACCCTAGCTAAATAGGAACTCATAAGTAAAACCAAAATTGACTCCTAATTTTGTCAAGTTAATTAGGCTAAAAGTGATGTAGGTAAAGGTCATAATATGAACAAAGGTAAGGTAGATATAGACATATATAGACATTAGTAGTAGATTAACCTTAGAAAGGAACACATCAGATTGGCCAATCTTGTAGAGAATCCCAACTACTACTATCCTATTCTTGACATTGAGGTCTGGGCTCATATGAATCATGTGCAGCTCCATGTCATACCTAATAATCACAAATTTTGTTGGTTAGATTAATTTTTCAACTTAATGAGTGAGTGAGTGAGTGAGTGAGAGAGAGAGAGAGGAGTAGATATTGGGCGAGTCCAGTATGCCATGCCATGTCAAGTTCATTGGCTGGATATACCTAATGACATGTTTTGCCCGGTTCACCCAATATTTACTCGAGAGAGAAACCTCTTGGCATTGATGGTGTGCTCGGAGGGTGCGTGCCAGTGCAATTGTTGGAGGAGATAAACAGTGTCATTGATCTGAATTGATCCAGCGTCACCGGCCCATTTCAGCTGCATCAATCACACACGTACCACCGCTAAATATATATTAACATATATTAACAAAGCTTAAAATTAATTACTCATAGTAATTTTCTGACCGTTATATCATGACCCCTGTTCATGAGAGTGGCATTACTAGGCTTGTAATTCCTCCTTATCTCTCCGGACTTGGGGATTGCTTCTGCTACTTGATTCGGGATATCGATTGGAGACTGCATCGGTCCATTTTTACAAGTGGCCCATTCTTTCTTTAGCTCACCCCAACGTGAAGGACCATTGTTGTTCCTTTCGTCGTACACAAACTCTCTCTCGTCCTCTGTATCACATAAATTAATGCATGTCACACTTAACCTATATCAAATGCTAACTCCTTCAAAAATAATATAATAAGAAATATGATTTGTGCATTCACACACATGTACGTGTGTGTGTGTGTGTGTGTGTGTATTATATATAACATTACCAACTTCTTGAGCTGTGATCAATGCTGCATTCAAGAAAATAAGCAGAAAGGCAGAAATGAAAATGGGGTTGCTTTGGTTCTTCATGTTTCACAACCAAATAGTTAGAGAACAAGCAAGGGCATGCATGCTAGAGATTCAAATGCCTAGCTACGTATGCTACTTATATGAGAGGACTCCATGATGGTGGGCATTATATAGGGTTAGAATTTTTTCCATGTTTATTACTATTATTATTATATTCTGAGTTTATGAAAAAAACAAATTGCCAACCCAGCCAAACAGAAAATTGTTAGTTGGACTTATATTGTAGACTGAGTTATGATAGTTACATTGCGATTGTAAGCATTGAATCAGTACTTTGAATTTAAATTTGAAAAAAATTTAGTTCAACTTTTAAATTAAGTTTTATTCATTTTCAATTTCAATGCACCATTTCATTGCTCCCAAATATAATATTATAGTAGTCATTGTAGGGTTGTTCAGGGCAATTAACTTTGGTAATTAGAATAATTTCGGATAATTGAAATTTTGAATTAATTGTATAAAACACCTCGAAAGTATTAAAATATATATATATATCGCATTTTATCCATCTACTAATTCTGGGTAGTTAGTCCACAGTTGTAACGGTTGTACGCTTGCTCATTTATAAAAAAAAACTCAAACTGTTAGATAGTGCTGTATATCCACTCATTACTCAATCACTTTCCCATCCGAATTCGATGTGGGATAAATGACCCTTGCTATATTCTCCCCCACCTAAACTCGCTACGCCTTCGCTGCGCAGTCAGGTCACCCTGTCTACTCAGATGAGTCACCCGGACGCCTTTTGGATCGGACATTTGACGTGACATCGGATTAAGAATTGAGTTTGATTTTGATACCAACTATAACGGGTGAGTACTTGTCCATTTATCTAAAAATTTAAATTATTGTGTAGTGCTGTATATCCATTCATTTATACCCAATTACTTTTCCATTCGAATTCGATGCGGGACAAATGATTAAGTTGCCATTATAAAATAGACAATCAAAAGCATTGAGATTTTTTGGAAACTAACAATTTGCCCTTTTGTATTAATAATCCATAATCCCTCCAAAAGTACCAGAAAGAACGAGGCTCTTTTTGTCTTTTACTTGAATCTGGCCTTTTAGGTGTCTGTTTGGCAACTAAATTTGCCATCTAAATATTTTATTACTACCCTTAAACCTGGTCCACCGGCTCATGCATATATGCTCTCTTTTTTGCCAAACCATGTTTGGTGAATTAGGCTCATCAACTAACTTAGGAATTTGCAACTTTGTTAGGACACTTATCAATTGAGTTAATTCAATAGAAAACTTCAAAAGAAGTAACAGAACCAACCAAAAAAAAAATGAAAAGGAAAAGGAAGATTATAACAAAATTTGTGAAGACACATAAGCATGCAAAAGAATTAGGTGTCTTTTGGAGCATACTATCAGTTGATTGCTTATATGGTTGTACTAATTACTAATTAAGGGAAGTTGGAGGTTATTACAATTTGCTTATAGTTTCACCATTGAGCTCTCTTTCATGACTGTAGGGATGGCAATTTGTCCTGCGGGGACGGGCACCAGTTTATAGTAATTTTGAGGACCTTCTAACTTATTTGGGTAATAATAGTTTTTATTAATGAAAACCCGTGCGGGTTTAAGGTAGGGGCGGGGAAGGTCACCCTACTCCATTTTGGTAGCTAAATTATTAAATTAGTCTTATTTTATTAGTATATATAGTTAACCCTAGAAACTCTAGGTCATATTTACTTGCTTTCTCTACCGTTCTAGAGAGAGGCAGAGCCCTACGAACTAAGAATGTTCATACCCTTAAATTTTATGTTAAATTATTGATTGTCCATTTTTTATGAATTTTTTCAATAGTTACATAATTGTATTTGAGGAAAAAAATTTAAAAATGAGGAGAAATTTTGGAACAAAACAGGGCAAGGCAGGGCGGTTGCCGGTGGGGGTGAAAATTTAAACCGGGGCGGGGATGGGGTGGAAAAGTCCCCCTTTTAGGCAGTTTTGGGCGGGGACGGGGTGGCGGTTTTGAAACTGTTGCGGGGGTGAGGGAGGGTAAACCACCCCGTTGCCATCCCTATCTAAGAGGATTATGGTGTGTTTTAAGAGGTTCAATATTATCATTTTCGACAAAATAATAATAATAATAATAATAAACCATTAATAGATTTTCGTTCTGTTTCTACTGGACCAACTCGTCTATGGAATAATATTGAATTATGTTGGGAATCATTCATTCATGGGCTGTAAATCCTTGCAAGTATCCTCTGCTTTACATTGTAGTCCAAGGTGAAATGTACCAGAGATCCAAAGTGGGCCGTCTAATCCACTCAGTTGGAAAGGCACAAGAATGCTAGATGGGCCTTAAGAATTCAAATCACACACACTCCAATATCTTGGACCAACATTTTTAGTTGCAATTGGGGACCAAAAGTCCTTTTCAGCCGAGATGGGTCCTATTTTGCTTACAAAAGTCCTGAATTAGTTCAACAAAAGTCATTTGGAATCTGTTTTAACCTTTTACCAATTCGGATAACAATATTTGGAGTACAAAAGAAAGAAACCAAAATATAAATCTTTGTGGGCCCAAAGTATTGGAAAATTTTGTGCCTACTCGTCCTATCATTTATCCTACTTACCATTAGGAAGGGTCCATTTAAATCATGGTCCACATTCGATCATCTCATTAGTCTCATTGTTATACTTTTGTCTTGATATCACCAATTTTTTTTTCATTTTCAACAATCCATGATATTATTAATGGCTAGGGCCTAGGGGTTAATGTACCTACGCTATTAGAGGTTGAATCAAGACACACATTCTCATATACTCTCAATTCAATTTATTTTATTATTATTTCTTTTATTAACAGTAAAAAACTCATTCACCTACTTGGTATGATGTCAGGGATAGATTTAGAAAATTAGGTAAGGAGGAAGTGTACCAATGCGAATATAGCAAGCCTTTGAAAGACTTTGGCAAGTGAGGGAGGGGCCGAGGACATGTCATGTGGGCCACTTAATTGGCCTGTGGGTCCCACTCACACTCTCTAAAAATAAATTAAAAATATATTATAAATAGCTCCTTCATTTAAGTATCAATGTATCATACCCATTGGCTGGACTAATCACAAACATGAAGAGACACCTCATCTCAATTTGCTTTCTACATGACACGCTCTAAGGATTTAAAATATTAATTTTCTAATTTAAAAAGTGAAAAAGTATGTGGTCTATGATTTTACTATTGGAGCCATTTATCATTAGGAATTTCCCAAAATTTCTGGCAGGTTTATCTGGACAGTAAAAACATGTAATGATTTCATTTAACTGGTAAACCATGTGAAATTAAAATAAGGAGTAAGCACCTTTATCTCATACAATGTATCATGATTCAAAATTGCTTGAAAATACTAACCGAATGGAAAATGATACTATAAGATTAGGAATTTGAAACCCACAAACGTTATGGTCATAAGATGGTCCTACATGGTAACAATAGTCAAAAAATGATCTTCAATCAACAGCAAGTACTGTTGATGTTGGAAACAAACAGTGTCCGTGAAGTAGTGTCCATTTCAATTATTAAATCATTTCGTTACTGAACCTTGCCAGAACACTGTCTAAGCCTGAAACATCCTGCTCATCGACCGAGAGTCCTAAAGGAACTGCGCATATAAATATTGGCGTGTGACTGTGTGTATGTGTTTTGAATCTTTCGATATATATATATATAATATATATACACTTAATGTAGTATAGACCGTATAGGTTAACGAGATCGATACAAGCATGCTGAAAAAGTTGTCGAGTATACTTTCAAAGATACTCCGCAATTTATTGAGACAAAAGTAACGCAGCAATTATGGCAGTTGTCTTTATCAAGACTTTTTTCACCTAGTATGGCTCTCTACTAACCATTATTTATTTATTTAAGGTGGAATACTACTAATTCTCTATTTATCCATTTTCTGCATTGCAAGCTAAGGGGAAAAAAAAAGAAAAAAAAGAAAAATGGTAAATTGCATTGACATTTGAAGTTTTCGGATGCGAATCAACGACTTATTTTAATAATAACATCCCTTGTGGTTTTAAATGTCATATTTATTCTTAATTATTTAATTTAATTAATTTACAAAATATCAGTCTATAAAAATATCCTCATTATTTAGCCTCTTTCTCTACTATAATCTTTAACTTTCTTTTTTTTTTTAATTTATTTCATTTTAGTACCTAGTCGCCAACACTCTCTCTCTCTTCCTGATCTTAGACATGACCATATTTTTTTTCCTTCTTGTGGTGTGTTTGGGCTGGCCTTGACTGTTTTAAAAATTTTTTTTTTCTACTCTAGTGATGGTTGTTGTGGTGTGGTTTGGTGGTTATAGTATAGTGTCTGGGTTATCAGGATGTTTCAAAATTTTTATTTTATTTTTTCTACCGTGGTGTTTGGGTGTGGTGATGATGGTTCTGGTGGTGTTTGGGTGTGGTGGTAGTGGTTATGGTGGTGTATAGTTATTTGGTTATTTTAAAAAAAATTTAATTTAATTTTTAATTTTTATGTTGTGGTGGTGGTTATGATGGTATAAGTATTATTATATATAAACTATAGGGTAAAGTGCAAAAAACCCCCCTTCAACTATTGGTCACGTGCAATTAACCTCCCTGAATTACAATTTGCCCCCTTGAACTAGTGAATTTGGTGCAATTAACCCCCTATATGACATCTTCGGCCAATTAGTTATAACGAAAATAGTAAAAGATAATTTTACCCCTATATAAAACCACGTCGTTTCATAAAATTTTAACAACCACCAATTTTTTGATGTTATTTTATCCACAAAAAAGTAGAACTAAAAAAATAAATTCTAAAAAAAAATTGAAAATTGAAGTCTGAACAGCCCTTAGACACCAAACTCGAGCAAATCGTCCCCTCCCCTCGTCCCCTCCCCTCTGTATTCACAGTTCTTTCCCCTTTCTCCTCTCCATTTCCTCCGGCTGCCAACTCCTGACCACCACAATACAACCGTTTTCGGTCTCTTCTCCACT